CCCCCCCCCCCCCCCCCACTGTCTCTGCCTCTCTCACTCTCCATCTCCATTTCAGCATTTGGGTGTTATTGAGTGGATCCTGAGGAGTGGGGAGGAGCCCGGCCTCCCCAGCGTCTGTGGTAGAAAATCCATCTTGGAGATGAACTTCAAACCCCTTTCGGGTTCATCCTGGCCCCAGGCAGGAAAGCTCCCAGGTGTCTCCTGGCCTGGATCCTGCTTACCCTCCATAGGTCTGCTGAACGCTATGAAATGCTCTGAGAGCAAGCTGACGCAGCCTGGGAGGCAGCGAGCTCACACTTGGTGTCAGAGCCTGGGGGGCATCGCTAAGTGACAGGATCGCCTATGGAAGGAAAAGTGTCCCAAAGCACCTTCCTTCGGCACCTCTGCGTCCTCCCTGTTCCCCAACAGGGGCCCCCTATCTGCCTTTTTCAGCCTCTTTCTCTCTCTCTCCTTTTTTAAACTTTCTTTCCAAGATCTTTTTCTCGCATGATCTATAGCCAAGCCCCTGCCTACTTTTCTGAGTGTTAGGTGTTCTCAGGAAGTTCCTTCATTCCCCTCCATCCTATAGCCCAGGCTGGGCATGTTTATCCTTCACGTGCCTTTTGGGGGGCATTATAGTGTGGTGGTTAGTACTGGGGTCCCTCAGCAAACTACAGCTCTCGGGCCAAATCTGGCCACAGCCTGTTCTTATAAATAAAGTCTTTTGGGGACACAGGCATGCCCATTCGTTCAGGCTTTATCTGTGGCTGCTTTCCAGCTACAATGGGACAGCTGAATTCTGGTGACAGAGACCATATGATTGGCAGGACCTAAAATCCTTAGTCTGTGCAGGAAACACGGACCCATCCCTGGTTTGGAGCGAGGCCTCTGGAGCTGTGCTGCTGGGGTTCAGATCGAGGCTCTGCGGCTTCCTCACTGTGCGACCTTGGGCAAGGGGCTTGTGGCCTTGTGCCTCGGTTTCCCCCTGGGGTTGCTATGAGGACCGAACGGGCAAAGGCACGCGAAGGGCTTGGAGGGGCACTCAGTGTGCATTCAGTGTCGTGACGCATAATGTGAACGCGCTCACGGGGGTGGGCGGGGTGGGGCGGCGTGACCGTGGGTGAGAAAGGTGTTCGGTCCTACCCAGTGAGAGTCCCGCAGGGCAGTAAGGCTCCGGCATCATTTTCTTCATCATCAAGTTCACTAGGCTGGTGGGGAAGCCGAGTCTCACAGAGGTGGAGGCTTCTCACCCAGGGCATGAGGGGAAAGGCATGAATCACCGTCCCCAGGCACCTGGGTGGCTCAGTCGGTTAAGCGTCAGACTCTTGGTTTCGGCCCAGGTCATGCTCTCACAGCTCATGAGTTCAAACCCCACACCGGGCTCTGTGCTGACAGTGTGCAGCCTGCTTGGGATTCTCTCTTTCTCCCTCTCTCTCTGCCCCTCCCCTGCTCACTCTCTATCTCTCTCAAAAAAAAATAAATAAACTTAAGAAAAAATAAAATAAATCTCTGTCCCGCAGCGGGGTAACGAACCCAGTACGCATGGCTTGGCCGACCTGTCCCTCCTTTTAGTAGCCAGGCCTCACTCGAGTGAGGCCCAGAGCGGGAAGTTTAAGGAGGCCCTCACTCTTGGATTCGTGCACGTGCAGGGCACCCAAGAGGGAACCCCTTCTGTTTTTTTTAATTTTATTTTTTATTTTTTAAAATTTACATCCAAATTAGTTAGCATGCAGTGCAACAATGATTTCAGGAGTAGATTCCTTAGTGCCCCTTACCCATTGAGCCCAT